TGCCAGCGGTCGCGGGTTCGAATCCTGCTGGGGGCATTCATTTGTGTAATGAGTACGAATGTTTGTACTCTAGTCATGGGTGTTTTTATTTATAATATGCATGTATTTAAATTTATATATGTATGTATCAACTATCTAGTATCCATAACACATCCCTCGTAGCTTACCATGGAACTAGATGGTGCTGTGTGCTAATGTCCCAACATATTTATTTAACATATTATTGAAAGTGAAGAATATCGATTCTGAAAACAATGCGCAGTCAACAACGTCGTCGTGGATTGCTGCGTAACTTTGCTTATTGGGCCAGAACTCGGTAGATATAATTACCATTTCGAGTGAACTGAAGAGATATCAGGCGCTGAAAACTGCTTTTACATACTCACAGAGTATCGCGAACATTATATTTTTACTTGGGACTAAGACTTTCATCTCAGAAATTTCATCAACTTTTGAAACTGAAATCAAAATGCGATAATACTTAATCGAAATATCGAACAGATAAATAAAATTGAAGTGTCTGTTTGTAAGGTCAAAATAATAGCTTTTTACTAAATGCATATGAAAGTACCGTATTTACTAATAAGAATAAAACAACTTTAAATGTTTGTCTGTCTGTCTGTCTGTTTGTTGCGGCTAATTTCCGAAACGGGTGGACCGATTTTGACGGTACTTTCACTGGCATATAGCTGATGTTATAGCAGTAACGTACTACTTTTATATTAGAAAAAGAATCGGGGTTCTGCGCAAAAAATGAAAACTCATGAAATAGTGAACTAAATCCGCACCGGAACTAAGTCGCTTGTATGTATATATAATGTTAGGTTGATTCCATATACAAACTTTTATCCCCATTTTCATCCCTTTAAGGGTTGATTTCCGGAATAAAAGTATTCTATGTCCTACCCATGGTCTCAAACTATCTTCTTACCAAATTTCATCTAAATCGGTTCAGTAGATCCAGAGATTACCCCCTACAACCTCACAAACTTTACCTCTTTATAATATTAGTACTAGTATAGATGAGGAAGTTCAAAATTCCGAGATTCAAAATTAGGTAGCCTTAGATGTCTAACTGCCCATCTCTTTTGGTGCTTCTAATTCTTAAGAAATACACAAAGATTCATACACAGAGATATTTTTAGACTTCCAAATTATTTCGGCATATTGTTCTATTTTTTGTTTCAGAACTTCACGCAAATGTAATCGAGCGTTTTTGCTACTATTTATTCGTTAACCTAGCAATATATTTCAACTTGAGTGATGTTTTAAATCGCGCAACCGAGTTATTATCTCCAACATATTTTACCCGCATCACGTTTATCTTCATGAAACCGCTACATATTTTGTTAAATCCATTTCTCTATATAGAATATATTGCGGTAAGTTAAAGAAAATATTTTAAATTTTTTAATAATAATAAAAACTGTAAAGAGGTCGCTGTTTGAATAGTTGTCAGAAAAATTCTGGTTGAAGATTTTTGAGAATGATTGCTCGTCTCTGTGGGTGAGTGATATGGCTGAATCGAATTGTATGGAACTTTTTAAAGCATACTTTCAAGAAAATAGTCAGAATTTAAGACGTATGCAATTGTGATGATTCTAAGCTGTAAGGAGGCAGTGTTAGCCCAGTGGTAATGCGCTTGGTTGGGAAACCGAGTGAAGCGGGTCCAAATGTGGGTCTCGCACTTCTGATATTCTTATGTGTCAATCATTCCCTACAAGATTACCACTTGTCTTACGGCGAAGGAAAATATCGTGAGAAAACCTACACGTCTAAGAGGACTTGGCAAGTTTTCGAAATACGAAGTCCGCCAACCCACATTTGGTTAGCGTGGTGGACTATGATCACATCCCCCTTGTGGTGAAGGGATCCCCCCAGCAGTGGAACTTTAAAAACGAATACATACGAATCTGTAATGGTCATAAATTTTCAATTTAATAAGATCTTATTAGATAAATAAATTAAATTATTTTATAATCATTACATAATTATAAATTAAAAATTTGAAAAAACCCCCTATGCAAATTAATTGTCATTTAACTATTACACCGGCACGCGTGAAGCACTTAATCGAGTAATCATGCGCCAAAATACCTTACATCATTTTGGAAAAGAGTTGATACTCTTACACCGCTGGGCCAATATTAACCAAACATAGTTAAGACCTACCGCAAGGAAACTGGCTTTCAAATGAAAAAAACCGCATCGAAATCTATACATCAGTTTGAGAGCTACAATGCCACAGACAGACACACACACAGACACACAGACAGACAACAACGTCAAACTTACAACACCTCTCTTTTAGCGTCGGGGGTTGAAAATAGCTTTAACATTAGATTATATGTTATAATATGTGGTGAAGCGCCTCAAAGAAATAAATATAATTTAAATAATATGCATAAATAAACCAGTTCTTCAAAGGGAGAGGAAAGCAAACAGACTGCTCGAGCAGATCGAGTGCTTTATTTAGTTAGATGGCTTGATGTTTTTTAAATGATTTAAATTGTGTTAAATTATAAAATTACATTTATTACTAGCATTGCACGGTGCTTCGCCCGCGTTCTGATGACCAAAAACGAAATAAAATAGCGCTATTGTTATATATTTTTTCAATAGATTTTGCCATAATTAGTAAGTTACATTGCTAAAATATATAGTATCATCGTGGTTTTATTCTAACCAGTTTTTGTATTTTTTTTTAGAAATAAGATATTTTCTCGCGGTAAAAAGTATCCTATATGTTGACCCGGAAACCAGCTATTTTTCTGTAGTAATTTTTAAGTAGCCAGTAATTTTTCTGTAATGCGGTAACAGACAGATAGACAAAAATTCTAAAAACTATAGATTCGGCCTCTGTATCGATAATAATGTCTATTTCAATAAGATTTTCCAAAAAATATTTAATGTACAGATTCGGCTTAGTTACAATTTTATTATATGTATAGATTGAAGGTAGGCATTCTGGTAATAGTACTGGTGTTTTTAATTTAATCGTGTTTTTAATTCAAAAAGGCATCAATTCGGTCGTACTTTTGTATATTGCAATATCATCGCAACTCGATATGACTATAATTACAATGATAAGTTTTCGTCCGGTGGTCGAAACTCGACCATGATCATAATTGAAATAGAAAACATATATAAAAAGAATTTACCTACAGTGGTAGCCTAGTGGTGACGCGCTCGCTTGGGTAACCGAGTGAAGCGGGTTCAAATCCCGGGTCTCGCACGTCTGATATTTTCATGTGCGAATCATTTCCAACATGATTACCACTTGTCTTACGGTGAAGGAAAACATCGTGAGGAAACCTGCATGTCTGAGAGAACCTAGCGAGTTTTCGAAAGACATGTGAAGTCCGCCAACCCGCACTTGGCCAGTGTGGTGGACTATGGCCTGATCCCCCTCATATTGAAGGGAAGCCCGTGCCCAGCAGTGGGACATTAAGAAGGGCTGAAGACTACATATATGTATATAAAAAAGTCACGTTTGTTGTATGTGAGCCCCAATTAAATGTTTGTTTTATTTTAATGTAGTTATTTATTTTTAAAGTGAATATATAACTAAATATTCTGTGAATATTTCTAGCGTCTACATTTTGCCGTTATCAATATCGAGCAAACACGAGCAAAAAATCACGTTTGTTGTATGGGAGCCCCCTTAAATATTTATTTTATTCAATTTTTTAGTATTTGTTGTTATAACGGCAACAGAAATACATAATCTGTGAAAATGTCAACTGCTGTATAACTATCACGGTTCATGAGATACAACCTGGTGACAGACGGACAGACAGATGGACAGATGGAGACTGACTAAAAACTGGTTTAAAAAAAATATTATAATTACCTCTAAAGCTCGTCAATAGATACGAAAAAAAAGAGAATCGGTCGACAAACAGAGGAGAAAGAAGTCTACTCTTTTGTCTTTACCAATTTAGTTTTTTATATCCTCAAGGATGCTTTTATATAAATTTCAAGACAAATGGCCCCTAAGGATATAATTACATATAAAGTGATTTTGATTTTGGTGTACCTTTTTAAATAAAAAATGTATATTGTGACTCACTCGATTGTAAGTTACTATAAAAAGATTTTTAAACTTTTTAGAGAGCATAGATATTATGGACGTTGACTTAGTCTTTTGCCTCACATACATTTTTGCGCTTAAATCGTGTACGATGTATGTTGTAATTTTTTTCTAAAGAATTTTTTGTTTCTACATCACTATTTCCTACAGAAGTACTTACCTGTCGAGTTCTATCGAGTTTCCTTATTATGTAGCTACTATAAAATAACACATATATTTTCTAATATATAAAATTTCCATGTCGCAATGTTTGTTACCGTACTCCTCCGAAACGGCTTTACCGATTTTTACCAAATTTTATATGCGTATTCAGTAGGTCTGAGAATCGGCTACTATCTATTTTCCATACCCCTAAGTGATAAGGATAAGGGTGGTCCTCCCAGACCCCACCCCAGGGACGAACCCGAGCGGAGCGAGGGTGAGTTGCTAGTTTTATTATATTTAAGAACCCTCACTAATCAACTACAAACCTATTACTGAAAACCGCATCAAAATCGGACTAGTTTTGGTGTTGCACAAAGAAATGTTTACTCCAGCGCCCCCGGGTGAGTTGTCACCGTAACATCTACCTAATAACATGCACCAATAAAAACTGAACCCATAACTGAAAATTGCATTGAAATCGGACTGGTAGTTTTGGAGAAAAATGGCAACATGGATTTCCACAAACAAACAACCTCAAACGCATATACCGTCTTCGTTCCGTCGTGGGTAAAAAAAGCAGAAGTTGTAAAAATATTAAGTTCTTAGAAAGTAAAAAAGAAAATGACAACTTATAATAATTTAACCCATTTGATATCCCGCTGCTAGACACTAGTACACCAATGTACAGCCCAGGAATAGTAGAAAATATTAAAAAAACTCTAGGGAAAGTGCGAAAAAGTTTCTGTAAATTGAGGAAACTTACCTGAGTTCTCGTAAAAAAGCTCCAAAAAACGGTATCAATCTGCATTCCGGCATCGCCAAAGCTCGTCCCAGCGCCCTTTCATATTCTGCAGAAAGAAGTGCCGCAGAGAGAAAGTCTAGTGCCGGTAGCGGTTCTTCTGATATACTCAGCCAGAAAGTTTTTAGTTTGTGTGACCTGAGGACAAATTAGTGATTTTACTAATTTATATTTTTAGCATTAATATTATACAAAAACTCACAAACACGTCTGGAAATTAAACTGCGTTTTTTTCAAATCTCTTTTGTTGATTGCTTTTCGGAGACCAAAATTAGATCATTCGTTGTTTCGTTTAAAAAAGAACTTTATGTAGTGCGCATAAGTTAGACTTTGTGTTTAGACAATTAGGACTTTCGATTTTTTAATTTGATTCTTCGGTTTGACATTTTGAACAGATATTTGTTAGGAAATATGTATCTATGTTTTTATACGAGTATATCGATGATTGTTAGAGCACTTGTAATAATTAATACCATTAGTTATGTCATCACGACTACTTTAAATAGCACATGACAGCCCAATTGACAGTTAGCTTTTATATGGTGAGGCTGTTGGAGAGACTTGCCAGCTATCGATATTTTACAACACGTTTGGCTCAGTTTGTAGTGACTCTACTTGAGTCGCGGGATCGAATCCCACAGGGGGCATTCATTTATGTGATGAGCATGAATGTTTCTACTCCAGTCATGGGTGTTTATATTTATATAATATGTATGTAATTAAAGTTATATATGTGTAGTGTATCAACTATCTGGTATCCATAACACAAGCCTCGTAGCTTACCATGAAACTAGATAGTGCTGTGTGTTAATGTCCCGACATATAAAAAAATAATAATAGGGAAGCATATTTTTTACCTCCTACCTTCCCTCATCCCGTAATGGACCAATAAATTAATTTGATTCTTACATAAGTTATGGGGTAGAGAGTAACAAAGGAATCTTTTTTGGGCATATGAAATGGTTCCTTTAGTAAATTGTACATTATATTATTAATTGCAAATATGATGTGAGTAAAGTTAAGGTGTATTGCTAGTATTAAATCCATACTAATATTATAAATGTGAAAGTGTGTTTGTTTGTCTTTCTTTCACGTCGAAACGGCTTGTCGGATTGGCGTGATTTTTTGTGTGGAGATAGTTGAAGGGCTGGAAAGTGACACAGACTACTTCGAAAACACGTTATAATACAATCCAAAAAAATGTTTATGATTAGAATTGCTTGAAACTTGGTATTAATGCTCTTCAATACAATTAATTAAATACGTGTTTTAGCATTTTTCGAAATTCATCCCATGAGGGGGTAAAATAGGGGATGAAAATTTGTATAAATCCTACCATTTTAGAGTTTTTTTTGTAGTTTTAGCGCGAGCGAAGCCGTGGGTTCTGCTAGTAACTATATTATTTTGATATTAATCAATCAATCAGTGGTTTACCTATTGAAAAATAACCAAGTGTGTATTATTTTTAATATAGCTGCCAGACGTATCAGCTATATAGCTCCGAGGCGTGAGAGTGAAACATCGTCAACATCGCAACTCCGGGCTGTTACTGAGAATTTCTAGACAGAAAAAATCCATAACTAAACTTGGACGGCCCCGGGACTCGAACCTCCGGACATTCCCGAACCTCTGACTCTGCAGCAGTACATGCTAGCCAGTAGACCATCGAGGCAGAAAAAATGAATAATAACAGAAACTAAAAAAATATCAGCACAGTAATAGCAACAATCATAGAAGCACGTAGTAAAATTATTAGCAAATATAGATAAGATTTACATTTGAGAAATTGTATTAGTTCTCGAATACACAGTTGTTATAAAATTCCATTTGCTTGATATTCTAATACATTTTAAAGTACAGCTCGCTTATCGTATCTCGATAACCACATTTAGAGCACTGTAACATCCACATAGTATATGTGAATTTTCAACTGAACGTCGATAGCAAAATATAGAGAATCGAGTCAAGCTGTTGATAAAAACTTAGCTTCATCAGATTTTTGGAAATTATTAATTTTTTACCAAAATTCTTTTCATATAACCTCGGAATGAAGGTTATAATATTGCCATTTTATTGTAAAAAAAATTCTTGTAAAATATTGCCATTTTATTGTGTGTGTGTTCAGATGACCAAAAACCAAATAAAATAAGTGCTTTTGTTATATTTTTTTCAAGATAAGTAAGTTACCTTGCTAAAATATATATAGTATAATCGTGGTTTTATTCTAATCAGTTTTTGTATTTTTTTCTCAGAAATGAGATTTTTCCCGCGGTAAAAAGTATCCTATATGTTGACCCGGATAACCAGCTATCACCATACCAAATTTCATGAAAATCCCTCCAGTGGTTTTTCTGTGATGCGATAACAGACAGACAGACAGAAAGACAAAAATTCTAAAAACTATAGATTCGGCCTCTGTATCGATAATATCTACGAGTATCTGTGTCTATTTCAATAAGACTTACCAAAAAATATTTTATGTACAGATTCGACTTAGTTAGATTTTTATTATACGAGTATGTATAGATTGTTGGCTCGAAAATCTTATGTAATTTCGTCTTCGCATCACAAGTATTGAGATGTCACAGGCCACAGTTTTTTTTTGAAAATATCATGTTTCCTTTCCAAAATGATATTTGAAGTGATTACAAAAGTCAGATTAAGATTCTCTACAAATCTATGCCAAACTAGCATTGTCCGCGGCTCCTCCCGCGTTCAGTTGACCAAAAACCAAATTCCTAGGTTTTATATATTAGTATACTTTTACATTGCAGTTTTTGTATTTTTTCTCAGAAACGGGATATTTTTCCGCGGTAAAAAGTATCCTATATGTTGACCCGGATAACCAGCTATCACCATCCTAAATTTCATGAAAATCCCTCCAGTGGTTTTTCTGTGAACAGACAAAAAGACAGACAAAAATTCTAAAAACTATAGATTCGGCCTCTATATCGATAATAATGTTTATTTCATTAAGAATTTCCAAAAAATATTTAATGTACAGATTCGGCTCAGTCACAATTTTATTAAATGTGTAGATTTAAATTATTTAAAGAGTAACAAACGCCCATGCATTCAAACAAATTTTCACAATTAATAAGACATGTACGCCATTGGATTATATTATTTTTTCAAGCAAACATATCAAATTCACAAACAAAAAGTACTTACACGAGTTTCGAATTACAACGCATCAATTATTACTGGTGCCACAAAGAATTTCAGCGTCGTTTCCATTTACATGAGCATCTATCAAACATGGTTTACAATTTAAATAAAATTTTATATCTTTAAAAAAAATGCTAAAAACCGAGTCGGGGGATGTAAGATTTTTTTTTGTACCTCGGTCTGTTTGTCTGTTTGTACGGGCTAATGTCCGAAACTGTTGGAGTGATTTAAATGAAATTTTGCATGGTGGTACCTAACTTATATTCCCGGTCAACATTTTAGATACTTTTCATCCCGGAAAATTAAAGAGTTCCCGTGGGATAGTTAAAAAACTATAGTAACTTAAGCTTAGTACACAACAACTTATGCCCCTAATTTAGTAAAATTTGCCATGCTGATGCCTTATATTACGGGTCAAACAACAGGTTTCTTTTTAACCCAAAAAATGAACGGTTCCCGTGGGATAGATCTGTTTGTGCTTTTCTAGAGGCGAAGCCGAGCGAAGCGAGTGTAAGCCGCTAGAAGAAAATAAGTAAGGACTATGGTCTGATTTCTCTCGTAATCTTCAATGCCTATGGTCAGCAGTGGGACATTAAAAACTGACGACAAGTTTGGCTCAGTTTATAGTGACTCTATTTGTTGTGCCAGCGGTCGCGGGTTCGAGCCCCGCTGGGGGAATTCATTTATGTGATGAGCACGAATGTTTGTACTTCAGTCATGGGTTTTAATAATTATAATATGTATGTATTTAAAGTTATATGTATGTAGTGTATCAACTATCTGCTTTCCATAACACAAGCCTCGTAGCTTACCATGGAACTAGATGGTGCTGTGTATTAATGTCCCAACATAAAAAAAAGGCCGACTGAGAAAGATGATTAGCTGTTAAGGCCGGTTTAGACTAAGATACTATACATGGTACACTCAATATACACCGAGTGTCTTTGTGTGAACGCAAGTGAGAAATTCCTTTGAAATAATCTTTATTATCGATACAGAGGACAGAGGACGAATCTATAGTTTTTAGAATTTTTGTTTGTTTGTTTATCTGTCTGGGAACACTTCACGAGAAAAGCACTGGTAAGATTTTGATGAAATTTGGTATGATGGTAGCTGGTTATCCGGGTCAATATATAGGATACTATTTATTGCAGGAAAATATCTCATCTTTGAGATATCTATACTAAACGTTAAAACGTACGTAGGGACAGACCCAAGAGGAGCGAGAGTGAGTCGCAAGTTATACATATATAATTACCAAAGCTTTTGACAATTTTCAATTCGAAAGCCATTTTGTTTCAGGGTATCGAAACGTGCACAGAATTTATATGATCTCTTTATTAAGGGTCATAAATAAAACGGAGTTATATTAAAGTTTGCGAAGATAAAATATATCAAGGAATAGATAGGGAGGGGAGAAAATATTTTTAGAAATACCGACAAGAATGGTTAAATGTGACCTAGCCAGACCAAACCAAGACGGTCATAATCAATATTGTTACAAAATTACGTCTCCAAATATCAAATAATAAAAAAACCTTTCAATTAAAAATATTCATCCCTTGATATCAAATGTTTTAAAAAACATTCTACCTTTTTCCGGCGACATTTTCAAATTTGGACTTGCAAAAATTTATAATTTCGTTTTTTTATAGGAAAACGAGCTAACAATCCACCTGATGGTAAGTGGCTATCGTCGATCATAGACATCTATACATATAATAAAATTGTAATTAAGTCGAATCTGTATGTTAAATATTTTTTGGAAAATCTAATTGAAATAGACATTATTATCGATACAGAGTCCGAATCTATAGTTTTTAGAATTTTTGTCTGTCTACCTGTCTGTCTGTCTGTTACCGCATCACGAGAAAACCACTGGACAGATTTTGATGAAATTTGGTATGATGATAATCTGGTCATCTGGGTCAATCTGGTTATTCGGGTCAACATATAGGATAGTTTTTACC